TTGGAGCACCAATAGTGGTCCTCCACGTGTCCAGGGTATTCTCTTCCCCAAACATATTTAATTGGGGCAACTTGAGATATGACAAAAAAAGTTAGGAAAATAAGCAAAATAACAACAAGGTTTGGTTTTTTCAAATATAGCATTTTTTTGGCAAAAAAACGGAGGCCCACGTTCTAAATTACAAATATACCCTACAGGCCCGAACCAACAATAAATTACTTCTGATATACTAATGATTGACAGATATACTCCTAATATATATATATATGATATATGTTTGATATATATATGATATGAAATTGATTTACTTCTGATATAACTATGATATCTACTACCATAGGTGACATAGAATTGATTGACTTCTGATATACTATTGGTTTACTTATGATATAACTATGATTGACAGATATACTCCKGATATATATGTGATATATGTTTCATATATATTTGATWTGAAATTGATTTACTTCYGATATAACTATGATATATACTACTATAGGTGATATAGAACTRATTGACTTTTGATATACTATTGATTTACTTATGATATAACTATGATTGACAGATATACTCCTCATATATATGTGATATATGTTTGATATACATATGATATGAAATTGATTTACTTCTGATATAACTATGATATCTACTACTATAGGTGATATAGAACWGATTGACTTCTTATATACTATTGATTTACTTCTGATATAACTATGATTAACATATATACTCTTGATATATATGTGATATATGTTTGATATACATATGATATGAAATTGATTTACTTCTTATATAACTATGATATCTACGAATTATTTCGAACATATTACCTCTAATATATGTTTTATGATATACTAATATATGAAATAATTTTTTTTTAGATAAAAGCAATGGTACAAACACGAAAAATGAAATAAAAAAACATCGTCGAAAATGTTGATGTCGTTCGTCCCAAAAGACAACATAAACCAACGCCAAAAGTGTTGTCTATGAAAAAACGGAAAGCTTCAAAGATAGTATCTCCGAAAATACGACAATCACCAAGAACGAAGATTGATGTCTCAAGCTTTTACCTAAAGATTATACAAGAATGAAACTTACGCTTTTCTAGACTGTTGAAACTTATGCTTTTGGAACTTATGCTTCTTCTTTTATAGAATTTTAAGAATGACATTGTTAGTCTACTTTTGGTTTATGCTACTGGTTCATTTTGATGTTTAAACCTTTAAGTTTTTCGTTGAAGGACTTTGTTGCTGATTTGATGTTGATGTTGATACCCAAGAATGATATTTAAACCTTTTAAGAATGACATTGTTGCTGCTTTCATTTTGATCTTTAAAACTTTAAATAA